ATTCAAAAATGGACATCTGAAATGAACAGACATTTCTCAGACAAAGAAGTAAAAGCAGCAAGAAAGTACTTGCAAAAATGTTCCACATCACTGGTCATTCAAGAGATGCAGATTAATACAACACTGAGTCCACCTCACCCCACAAAGAATGGCTGCTATCAAGAAATCACACAATAACAAATGTTGACGGGGTTGTGGGGAGAAAGGAACCCTTCTCCATTGTTGGTGGGAGTGCAGACTAGTGCAACCACTATGGAAATCAATATGGAGATACCTCAAAGAGCTTGGACTGGAGGTTCCATTTGACCCAGCCATCCCTCTGCTGGGTATCTTTCCAAGAGAACTAAAAGAATCATATCACAGAGAAGTATGTGCACCCATGTTTATAGCGGCACAGTGTATAATAGCTAAATCTTGGAAACAGCCCATTTGCCCGTCCGTTGGAAACTGGATAAAGAAGATGTGGTTTTTCTATAAAGTGGAATATTACTCAGCCATAAAGAATGAGAAAATAGATTCATTCATAGGAAAATGAATACATATTGAAGATATACTCCTAAGTGAAATAAATAAGTCACACATGTGTAAATACAGAATAGTTTCCCTGTTGTGAATAATCTGCAACAATGCATAGATTCTAATAAGAATACTGACATTTAGAAATGGGAAGAAAGGAGCTAAAGGTGTAGGGAAGGTGGGATGGGTAGGGGAAGAGTAAAAAGGGAAAAGAAAAAAATGTGAGAGAATGAAAAGATGAAAATAAAGTGTTTGTAGATGGAGAGGGGAGGAGGGGGTGAAGGGAGGCCAGAGGTAAGGGGAAAAAATGAGAATCAAGACTTGTCATGTAGAGGTACAAGATCCCAACAATGAATGTAACTGTACTGTATCCCTAAAATGTACCAATAAACTCAATTAAAGCTGAAAAAAAAAAAAGAAGAAATCAGGCTTGGTGAGTGTCTCCGCCTTTTCTAACAAATCAACGAATTTTATGTAAGCTGAAAAATATTTACTCTTTATAATGTAAGCAATATCTCTCTTTATTCATGAAAACACTGTTTGTGCTTGGAGGTGAGCCCATCTTGGACAGGTGGCAGCTGATTTGGAGACACATGTGCAGTGTCATGACAATTAGAGTTTTTACTCATTGACCTAGCTAGACTAGCAGTTGTGACCTCCTACTACAAACAAGAAGACAGCTGCCAGTAATTCCTTTTTTTCTTTTTTATAGTAGACGGATTCCAAGATATTGCCCTACAATTCCTTTCTTTTAGTATTCATTACCTTTGTACTTCTTCAACCTGAACCTGGGATTGAGGTAGCTGTGATTTACTTTTGACTAATAAAATACAGCAAAGATGATACAATTTCACTTGTATGATTATGTTATATGGGATACTTCTGTAGCTTCTGTTTTACTAGCAGACTCTTTATGGCTTTGAAGAAACAAGCTGTGTTGTGAGCTTCCCCATCGAGGGACCATTGATGAGGAACTGAGAGAGGCTCTGGCCAACAGCCAGAACAGAAGTGAGGCCCATGGTCTGACAGCCCTATAGCAAGTGAGCTTTGCCACCAGCCATACAAGCATGGAGCAGATCTTCTCCCACTCAGCCTTCAGGTGGAACTCATCTCTAGGGATATCCTGACTCAGGCTTGTGAAAGATCTTAAGCAAAAGGCCTGACACAGCTGTGCCAGGATCCTCGCTCCACAGAAACTGTGCACTAGGAAAAGTGTTGTTTTTAGTGGTAATATCTGCACTGCAATAGAAAATGAATAGTTTAAAAAAAATCTGCAGAGTTGCTATATCCTGTTTTTGATAACCACATAGTAATACAAATCAGAAGTACTTATGCCACTCATGCTCTAAGGATCCTTTCTTACTGCTTTTGACTTTTTGTTTAGTAATATAAAGCCTCTCACAATTAGTTGCTAAGTTTTTCAGCTTCCTCTCCTGTTACTCCTTTGTCTCTTCCACTACTTCCCTGAGTACACGTCCACACAATTGTCTCTCTTTCTCTCATTATCCCCAAGACAGCCCATAAATTGTGGGATTGTATAAGCTTCTTCCCCTTCCTGGAATTCCTTCTTTTTGTCCTTGGACAATCTCTCTTATCTTTTAAGATCTTTTAGCTGTTTCCTTAGAGCTTTATCCATATACTCTATGCCATTTCTACCTATATTGTAATTTATACAGGTGGCAGAATAATCTTTGATGTGGGTTTGAGTTTTGCTTTCCAAGCATACTACTTTGTTTTCTTTTCATGTAAGTGGTATTGTTAAAAAGCAGACGACCTTCCCAGTTACCTGTGTGATTTTATTATTTGTTTTTCTTCATAAACAAACAATCGCTTTTACTCTATGTCCAGAAGAAGGAAAGGCCGAGGGAGGAGAGCCTCTGAGAATAGTGAATGAGAGAGTCCCTTGGAGCAGAAAGAGGCAAAACTCTACTACAGTGTGTCAGGAGAGAAGAGAAGACCTGGGAGATAGAAGAAAGTACCAGATTTAAGGAGAGAGAAAGATCTCATCCCCAAAACACGGGCTCAGCCATAGGGCTTTTGCTGCCTGAAGACTCCCATGTCTTGGTACAGATTAAAAATAACAATGGCAATGAACAAGGTGCTACTCTTGCAACCTGTGCGTGATTGGAGACACCTCCTTCACCGTGCAAAGCCCAGGGAACTTTTCCAGTGCAAGAGGTAAAATAAAATAATGATTGTGAATTTTTTATTGGAAGGGGTTGGTACCAAGTTAGAGTTAATTTGAATTAAAATAACAAACTCTGTATTTGTTGTATACCTGTTTGCAGATGAAAATTTATACAAATATGAATAAGCCCTATGTACAAGAATCACAAAGCAAATTTCATAAAAGAATATCATACTCAGCTTGTTCAAAAGGAGTGAGAAAGAAATTCTTTTTTTTCAGTGAGTTTATTGGTACATTTTAGGTATACAGTACAGTTACATTCATCATTGGGATCTTGTACCTTTACATGAAAGATTTTGGTTCTCATTTTTTTCCCCTTGTCCCTACCCTCCCTTCACTCCCTCCTCCCCTCCCCATTTACAAAAACTTTACTTCCATTTTTTCATTTTCTCCTATTTTATTATTTTCCCTTATTACCTTTCCCCTACACTTCCCACTTTCCCTACACCTTTAGCCCTTTGCTTCCTATTTCACATTGTCAGTTATCACATTATAATGTCATGTTCCCTATAAATTGTCATATGGCTTGATCTGGAGACTCAATAAATTTTGCACCTCGTGTTTATACAATATCTCTGCAGAGTAGCCTCATATGTGGTTGCCCTTGTATAACTTGATATAGTTCTGTGAATAGAGAAATATCACACAAGGATGTCAGAAAAAGACCATCACGGTCCATGGACTAGTGCAGATCAGGAATCTCAACCTGCTTTCACCACCAGAGTCCTGGAGCCATGGAGATAGAATTCAGAATCCCAGCTCTACTGCACACCATTGTGTGAAACAGGGTAAGGTCTGCAACTTTACTGAGCCTTGATTTCGTCATCTGTCCTTTGAGGTAAATCACAGCACCAAACTAATAGGGCCGCTACAATGAATAAATGACATCAGGCACATGGTATATACTCAATAAATGTTAACTGTTACCTGGGGTTATTATATGAAATCTGTCCACTTAAATACATGCCTTATCATATTACCTTAACTTTCAAATCTGGAAAATTTCCCCCAGTGATCCACTTTGGGTAGAACTTGTATAGTTGACTTTTACAGGAACTTACTGTGGCTGTTCATTGGAGTGACTTCCTGGGGCAGTCTGATCACTACTGTTGTGCCTTCTGCAACCGCTGGAGGAGAGCAAACTGTCCCCAGAGGACTCTGGAGAAAGCCCACTAGCCGCTAGGTGAGCTGACTTGCATCTTCATGAATTTCAGTTTGGTCTAGAGACACTTCTGTTGGCTTTTGTCCCTAAGAGACATTCAGGAAAAATTTTGCAGGATGATAATTTCTCATACAATTTTTGAGAAGTTTGACTGTTTGTTTTGGAAAGCAGTTAGGGTAAAATAAAACCTAAAGATTTGCTTCCTCTGTGACAGTTTGGCTGAGTTGACTCAGTGGCACCCACTTCGGGGACATGCCCTGTCTCTCTCCCTCAGCCCTTCCAGGGAGAACAGTCTTGTGTGATTTTAATGTGATCATGTCTTTACCATGTGGTCTATCAGCTGTCACTGACAGTGTGTTCGAGAGTGTCTAGAAGGGGTTTTAATTGGCAAGATCTTTAGTAAAATTTGCAAATTAGTGATCCACCGGCTGATGTTATGACAATGTCTAAACACTATCAGAGCCATTTTAAAATAATCTTTCATCGATACAACATTCATTTTAATTAGCCAGAAAATGTTTGTCCCAAAGGAAGCTGCCTACAGTTTCATGGATGCAGCATAGGGTTATAAGATGGGCTCTGAATTTCATTTATTTGAAAAGAAAAAGGATTTGTTGAAGTTATTTGTATTTTATTTAGCTCATGAGGTGTTAGCCAGTGTCCCACATGATTGGAACATAGACTAGGGACACAGCCAAATAATGCTCTTCTACCACAGTGGCATGATATGAGTCTGAGAGTCTGGAGACTAAGATTTTCATCCTGGCTCAGCCAAAGTTTGCTTATATGACCCTGGGAAAGACTGTAGCAAATAACTGAGCATCTACTCGGCAACAGGCGTGCTACCTTTGATGTTTCTTTCCTTCAGCAGTGAGAGGTGAGAACCATTATCATCTCCATTTTGGAGCTGTGGAAACAAACTAAGGTTCAAGGAGAGAAAAGAGCTCATCCTAGACCATACAGCTCAAGAGACAGAGATCGATGTCTTTCTGTCTCTTGGCATTGAGCAATCTACTGCCATGTGAACAAACTAACACTTCCCTGAACAGCCCCTTCACCTCCATGAGCTCAGTTTTTTTCTCATGGTGAATCAGTGAACATAGATGGTATTTTGCTTGTGGTTTAGAAAGGGCAAGATTCTAGGTGGTTTACATATTTAGATTTCTGATTGCTGGGGGTGGTGGTTCTATTATCTATATTCTCATGAAATTTGGCAGGTCCTCACAGTATCCTTGGGATTGTGCCAAATTAATAAGCTGGCACTGATGATTTTAAGTAGTTTCACAGCTTTGCAAGGGCCATTTGTTTCAGGTTTGTTTCTCACTAGCTTATAAATGTGGTTGTGTCAGCCCAAAAGGCCTCTTTTATTTTCATTTTATAAGTTCTTGGTTGTGTTCTATACCCCATGGGTACTTATCAGTATTTTCTGTGGCTACCTTATTGATATCTTAATAAATATGAGCTTAGGTGTCATTTAATTTAAATTGGAAAAATTCTTAGCTCTATCCAACTGCACAAAAATGCACCACAGAACATTTTTTCTGGTATGAATTTCTGCCCTGAAGCATGAAATTCAGCCGAAGCTGCAGGATGTAGATGCCAGACGGCTGCAAAAACGGTCCCTTGCTTGGCCTTTTCTTTTATAAAAATAATTTATGACCTGTCGCTCTGAACTTCCGATTGCGGGCTTTGCAGGCACCCTGAGTTTTCTCTCACACTGGCAACTACCCTAAGCTGTCTCAGTGACAACACTGTCCTTGCGATAGCTTTAAAATATCATGAAAGAGGATCGTGCAGATCATTTAGCATTCCAACCTTCCAAGATAACTCTGAGAGATGGATTGCCAGAACTTGGTACTTCAAAACTCTTCAGGGTTCAAAGCAGGAGCTAAGTTTCTCTGCTCATTAGGCTTCATTTATAAAATGGGGATAATAATACTTCTTTTGCAGAGATATAAAGAAAATACTGTGCAGCTGTGATGAGGAGAATGGTGCTATATTGCCATTAGCTGTGCTTGAGTTTGAAGTCACTTTTCTAAATATTCAGGACTCCAGGAGATATCATATTTTGAAAGGGCTCATGTTCTTAGGTCCCTGATGTAACCCTAGGAAATTTGAGGAATACTTATTCTATTAAACCCATTATCTTTTTGACAAAGGCTTGATTCATTATTCTTCTTCCCTCCATCTCTCTCAAAGCCTTACCACTGATTTTGGTTTTTGTTGCAATGAACTCTCGCTGGAGGACAGATAACCCCACATTTACAGTATCAAACATCATCTTATACGCTCATGGACTCTGTTTTTCAGGGATTTGGACAGAACACCTGGAGATGACTTGTCTCCTTCTCCTCTATGTCTGGGGCCTGGGTTGGGAAGACATGAACAGCTGGAGGTGACCTGTCTGAAGTTGCTCAGCTCCCCAGAGGCCATCTCATATATGGACATCTGATTAGGAGGATTTGGATTTTCTCCTGCTTGTGTCTTGGTTACCAAGCATCTAGGGAAATGAGTATTCTCAATTACTTTTCAAGGTCTGCTGAAAACAATTACCACAAACTTATGACTTTATTCTCTCACAGTCTAGAGGCTGGAAATCTGAAATCCAGGGTCACCAGAGTCACGTTCCCTCTGAAGGCTGTAGGGAAGAATCCTGCTCTTCCTCTTTTTTTCTTCTGGTAGATACCCATGATACTTCGTGTCCTTTGCTTGTGGCTACATGACTCCAATCTCTGCCTCCCATCGCCTGACTCCTCCACGACTGTATCTCTGTGCTTGAATCTCCTTCTTTTTCTTATAAAGATATCAGTCATTTTAGTACCCACTCTAAATCCAAAATGGTTTTGTCTTGAAATTCTTAAAAATGTATAGCCTCAAGGAAACTATTTCCAAGTCTGAGGTTCTGGATGGAAGTGAATGGAGGGGGGACTGTTAAACTCATGATACTAATTCTGCCTAGAAATCTTTAAAAGTTTCAAGGGTAAGAATGTTAAAATATTCTAACTATCAAAAAATTTTATAAATGTCCAATACAAATACCATGACAGTAAGTAGAACAAGTTAAAGAAATTGCAGGTGATGTAGGCATGGGTGGGTGATGGGTATTCTTTAACTTCTGTGATCAGGAAATGTTTCTTTGCACAGTTAATATGTGATTGAAGAGTTTTGAAAATATCAGGGGAATGAGCAGTGTAGAAAATTTCAGGTAGAGCTTTCCAGGTGAACAGAACAAAACATAATGAAATGCTGAAGAAGGGACAAAGCACTATGCTTTGAAGGATGGTCATGAGGCTAGTGTGGCAAGAATGGAAGAGGGACTAGGAGATTAGTTTGGAGAAATCAATGGGGTCACATAGTTCAAAGGCCACTGTAAGTCTTTGTGCTTCATGTTAAGTCTAAGTATCATTAGAGCCTCGGGGCAAGAGAGTGGGCAAATCTGACTTATGTTCTTAAAAAATGTAGACTCTAAGCATGGAATGGAAAGTGGGACTGATTCAGTAAACTTGAGGATAGTGAATTCTTTAGAGCAAGCACGATATTGCTTTGAAAAGGGCTGGTAGTGGTGCACGCAACAATCCAAAGGAGTGGATGGTCTGTCGGAGGAAGAGCTGGAAGAACTTGTCTGGATTGGATGTGAGATGTGAGAGAAAGAAAAGAATCAAGGATAATTCTACAGGTTTTGTCAGACCACTTGGATAAATAAAAAGTTACTTTCTGAGATGGAGAAATGGAAGCATGAAGGAATTTGAGAGCAGAGTGGGAAACCAGGAATTAGAATTTGGCTGCATTAACTTGGGGAGCTCTATTTGACAGCCAAAAGGTCAGATAGGTCAAAAGATTTTGTATCTGGGGCTTAGAATATAGGTTGGAGTGGGGATTTAGTATAGAAACCATTGATTCATAAAGAGTATGCACTGAGTGGTCATTCAGAGGAACTGTGGGTAAGGAGAAAGGCCAGAGGCCCCAGGTCTTTCAACACTGAAAAGTCTCAAGATGCACCAGGACCTACTCTTGGGCAGGTAAAAAACTAGAACGCCCTTCACTTCAACTCCCTGATGCTCGGCTTTACCATCCTTATCACAGATTATGGAAATTTCAGTCTTTCAGTTCTGAAATTAGCTATATGACTAAGAATTCACTAATATTTTACACTTGTTTAGGATTGCCTTGCTGTGGGAAGCAGTTTCCTCATGGAAAGTCCCATCTGCTGTGTTCTTATTCTCGACTTGTGGATCTGCCCATGTACCTGGAGGTAAATGAGGCTTGGATGACTGAATGGGCCTGTCTGCTCCGATTCACAGCCTTCTTCCTTTTCTGCATCCTATGTCTGGATGTATGACCCCCAAAAGCCACCATACTTGCAGAAGCACTTGCTTTTACAGACCCAGCTGCCTGGAGCTCACCTGGCCACACCTGCTATGCTTTCCTTTGAAAAGCTGGCTATTAGTTTCTGTTTTCAAAGCTCCAAGTCTTGTAGAGGAAACCTCTAAAGTACTTAACTGCCCCAAGTGTCCACATTCCAAGTGGCCAGTTGTTTTGAAATTGATCTTCTGCTTTGGGATGATTTGCTATTTGGTGATAAGAGACACTTTAGGAAGGAGGGTGGGCTGCAGAGATGCCTGACTCCACTCCCCACTATCACCACTTGATCCAGTCTTTGGGAGCTGAAATCAGATCTAACAAAAGCTTGGATAGAAGGAGCACCAGGTAGGGTGGGGTGGAGGTTGGTTAAAGAACAAAGAAATGTAGAGACCAGGGAACAATGTAAGTTAAAACATGACCCATGAAACATTTAATGTGGTGAGCACTTTGTGAAGTTCCTATTATCCATCCATGGAAAATAACACCCATCCTCCACTGTAAAAGATATACATTTCTCTTGGACACCCCTTCCCCACCTTAGCTAACACTGACTTCTTATCAAGTGCCTCAGATTTAGGATGAAAGAATATATAAGAACAGGAACATTTTCTCCCCAAACATGAAAGAAGTCTGAGCCTGTAGAATACTTGCTGGCATGCAATCAAACACAACTATGTACCACAACACAATTGCCTCCAGCTCAAAGGTGAGTTTCAAGAGAGCCTTAAAACTGAATGAGGGGTGCCTGAATTTTTATCCTAAAGAAATTCCCACCAAATTCAATCTTTGCCCCTGCATAAAGGTACTTAGATGACTCTAAGCCTCTCTTTGAAGCAGTGGATTTTGGCAAATACCTGTCTAATTCCCCTGGTTTTTCTATAAAAACTGCTTCCCTCCACTGCTTGCTCATTCTCCAAAAGTAAGCCTTTCTTTGTCAACCTCCATTTCCCCCTTTTAAATCTGCCTGTTCCTTCCTGTTCATGGTTAGGAATGCAAGGACCCCTGAAACCCAGCTGCAGTGACCTCCCCCACCTTTCTGTGCATTCAACAGCCTTGCGTTGGTTTTGTCTGTGTGCTAGTGACTGTCAGCTATTGATGGCGGATTTAAGCTTTCCCAAGAACAGAAGAAATCTAGCTCCAGTCCAGAGTTCTGGGAAGGTGGGTAGTGACGCTATCATATTCATAGTCACACACCCAAGGAGATGCTTCAGGAAGCCGGAAGAGTCTCTCCCCTTCATAGGCATCCCAACCTTCGTGATTCAGTATATGTGTCTTGGCCACCTACAAACCCCACCAGTACTGCTGTGCTGCTGTCATGTGCCTTACCCAGGCCTCCCCTTGCATGGCTGCAGAATCTTCACTTCAATAAAGCTTCCCTCTCTGACGGTGCATTATCACATTTAGGCATGGGAGTTGTCGGTGTGCTCCCCCAAATCCTCAGTCAGGGCAGGGACAGATTCCTACTTCCTGCCTCATTCTAGTATTTAGCATAAAGCTTGCACATTCAAGCACTAAGCCTGTGTTTTCTAAATTCACGCCTTCATTTGGTCACTCGCTTGCAAATAGTTATTGCCTGTTCTATGCCAGACACCGTTTTAGGTGTTGAATAAATGAACAGATGAGCAGAAGTGCATAGAGCTGCTGCCATTCCCTCAGGCTGCTGTCCCTTTATGTTACTACTGAAGTTCACTTTCAAGTTGTTTCACTTGGTTTATTAACACACTGAACAACTGCAGCCGGCTGTGGCAGCCATGAAGTTTAGTGAAGTCAGGAGCTGTGCCCCTGGGACCCTTCCGTGGCTCTGGCACACCCATGACCATTTTTATTTTTGTCTTTTCCTTCCTATCTCATTCTTGTTCCCACTGGAGAAAAGACTGGAACCATATCCATGGCTAGGGGACAGACATATACTGATATGTCTGGTGACGTGGCAGGACAGGAACGGGGAGGGACAGAAGCCAAATTATAAAAAGACACTGGGGTGTCCTGCAGATAGAATGGGTCCTGTGAGAAAATTTAAAGCAAGCTTCACAGGGGCTTCTGAGGCTGGGAGGGGAGAAAGGAGTTCTCATTGAACTCTGTTATCCCTTGGTCTCCATAGCTCAGCTGAGCAAGTCACAGAGGGGCAAGGAGACGGCATCTACCTTTGGTTTTAGAAGTAGCTTATGGGACTGTTGTAGGACTACAATGATACAGGCATCCACCTTTAGGATAGAGAGATGCACCCTAGGATGGAACAAGGAACAGAATGATTTCTCATGGAACCTAGATAGCTCTTGCACTCTCCCAGGAGTGCCCAGGGTAGTAGGAGGAACTCATGTAGGTACTGCAGCCATGTGGGTAGGTTATAGTGAGGTAGGGGTAAATCATTCTAGTGCCGCTGTGGTCTCGTACAAAGTCACAGGTGGATGAATACTGAGGACATTCATTATTTCTGACCTTTCTACATTCTTTCTGTTGCCCACACTCCTGCGTCCATATGCAGACTCAAAGTAGAACCACAGGCCCAGGTCTCTGGTCTTAACTCTGTTTATGGGCCCATTTCAACTTTCCCTTTCTGGCTTTCATCTTCTGTGGCTCCCTGACTCCATTCTATGGCTTTATACCTTCTCTAATGTGGTTAATTATTTGGGAAGGTTATTTTCTAACTGTTGAAAATCTGCCAAAGTCTGCTATTGTAGGGATTCTTTCTTCCCAGTCTATACCTATGGCACAGGTCAGGTGAGCAGCCCTCCCAGACCCTAGCATCCTGATCACTTGGGAATTCCCATTTGCATATTGTCCTAGAGGTTACAATGCGTGATCTTAATGTTTTCCTCACTTTCAAATGTAGTTTCTCTCTAGAAAGAAGCAGATACCTCATAGGCACTTCTATGAGTAACTTATTTGCCTTAATAAATCACCACCCATGAATGAACTTGCACTTTCCATGTGAAAAAAAGAATGGATAAGCCCCATCCTGTGAATCTCTACCATTAGCCACTCAGGCAGGCATGACAAATTGTTGTGAGAAGGTGTTTTGGTGGGGAAAAACTTTTATGGGGTTCTCTGATCAATATTTATGTGTACATGAATCTCTGGGGATCCTGTTAGAATGGAAATTCTGATTCAGTGGGTACAGAGAGGAGACTGGGGTCCTACATTTCTAATAAGCTCCCTGGTGATGACATTAGTCTGTGGACCACACTTTGAATACCAAGACAGCACTACCTGTTTGTTCCACACTCACCTGGGCACCCATGATCTTTTCTAGTGATCAAAGCAATGAAATCTCTATCCAAATTGGTGAATGAGCTTCTTGGTTTGGCTGTTGGAAAGGGAGAATGAAAATTCTTATAACTATAAAGGCAGTAATTTCAAACTGGAATTCACTTGCATAAACAAAATTTTGTGAATGATGTTCTTGTTTTCCCACAACTGGTATTAATATTGTCACAGGATGCTGCAGAGATGGCACAGGAAGCTGGTGGATGCGTGTGTGAGGGATGGAGATCATTAAGACCAACAGCACACTGCACAGAAATCATCTCTTTAATCAGAGAAGCTTAAAAACAGGCCATGGGACTAAGGTGGAGCAGGGCTATGAGAACCAACAAATAAAAAAGAAAAAGAAAACGGAAGTCATTTGTAGAATCAAAGTAAGGACAACTGCTCTCTCATCCCCTTTCATTTCTCCAACAAGCTGAGAGTTCCAAGTGGTATTTACCATTCACCCATGAGCCCAGCTGGTTGCCCGGCCTCCACCGGGTGTATTTTTTTCCTGTGTGCGTGTTCCCCAGGGCATCCTCTGGGTGATGCTAGAAGATAACTTCTCATCATTACTATACCCTGTTATTGTCCCACGGCAGGTCTCAACACAGGAGCCCCGTCATTAACGCAGGGTACTGAGCAAGGCCCAAAGCAGGATACCAAAAAATCAAAAAAGAAAAGAAAAAAAAGAAGAGCTATTTTTTGCCGTTGTGGATCATAGGAGGTAGCTGAGAAGAGAAGATATGTACTCTGAAGATCACTAACCACATCCAACAGGAAATAAGTTCCCAGGGAATGATACACACCATAAGAATGTGAGCTCATGAGTCCTTGAGGACATTTGTAAATGAGGTGATCAGAAAGGCTTTATCGAGAAGGTAGTAATTGATTCATTCCTTACAGAGAAGGAAGACTTAAATAGTGTCTGGGAGGCCTAGGACAGGGCAGTTTCCAAGAACACCCTTCTGCCACATCCCTTTCCAGGATGGCCTGGGGAGAGAAGGAGAGCTAGATACAGATTTTGATGATAGAGGATGCAGGTGACCCTAACTGTGACACAGCTCAGTTTGCTAGAAGGTTTCTAATTCCTGCTAAATGCTACATAAAATCGGGTACAGACTTATAGAGTTAAAATTTACCTTGTTCATTATTTTCTTAAAACATGCTTTCTGGGGAGATACTTTAATCAGGTAGCCCAAATTTCTCTCTGTACTTCAGGAATCCCCATAGGACCTGATTTTCAGCTTTAAAAATTGTCATTTATATGTCAAACCCCAAGCACTCAATTTTAAACATCAGCAGAATAGATTAATAATGGCAGGGCTAGAAAAACTCCAAAATGGTCTTACACACATACACACACACACAACACACTTTTATTTTAAACGTTATGGTTTACATTTCAAAGTTTTATCAAATTGTCTCAACCGCCATAATTTAAACCATTGTTTTCCAAGGGAAATTTAATAATAAAGAGCTGCCATGTGTTTCTGCTTAATTTTGGAAGCCTGTGTTATGCAGTCAAAGATTCTCATTTGAAAATAATTCCTGTCCTTATTCTTAAACTGCCAGGGGAATAAGATTTAAAAAACATGCTGCAGCTCTCAAGTTTATGTTTTGCCTAAAGCCAAGCAGTGCTGGGAGATCAAAGTTTGGAGTGTAGTTCTAAAGTTAGAACGAGTGCCTTGCAAGGCGTTCACAAATGAGGAGCTGAGGCCCAGCAGCTGGCTGCCCAGGTCCTCCAGTAATTACCCTGGTGCATACAGAGGCCCCTGCTCCTTCCCTGGGCAGAGCCTGGGTCACAGGGCTCCTGTCGCCTGGGAAGCAGATCCCACAGAGAAGGGCCAGGCGTTGTATTTTTAGACCACACGTGCCCACGGTACAGGCTCCTGCATTCCACGGCTTACATTTGGGAAGAGCGGGAATGGAACATGTTGACTGTGCCTGCTGCCTGCTGGGTCTGCCCTTGCGTAGGGGCTATTTGTCAACAGGACAAATACAACTAATAAAGATGGGTAGCTGGGTCATGTTTGCTATTCTCAAGCTGCTTCTTATTTGTGTGTGTGTGTGTGTGTGTGTGTGTGTGTGTGTGTGTATTTTTTCATAAGCCCCAGCCCTACTTCTTCCCTTTTTTGTCAAGTGCTTCACTTGCCTCTTTCAAACCTTAGTAGAAATCACTGTAGGTTGTGATTTATTAGGGCAGCAGAATGATATTCAGAGGCAGCCAAGGAGCTCCCAGGCCGTTTCCATCCCTCCATTCACCCTTCCAGGAAGGTCTGCTTGCCTGGGGTGAGTGAGACTGAAAAGCCCAGTTGTAAACTCAAATACTTAGAAATATTCAGTGTTCAAGGAGCTGTGTGAATCCGACATGAATGTGGTTATTGATAGAAAAGTTTCCCGGCCACGCATAACTGAAAGCGGACTTGACCTGCAAATGCACATTAAGCTAGCCAGACATGAACATGGTGGACTTAGGAAAACTGGCAAATGTGATGGGAAGCCTGAGTCTTTTCCCTGGGGTGTCATCTGCTATCCCACTGACAGTGAGAGTTCCACAGTGCAGTCCTGGACATGCTACCAGCGCCATTGAGGCTTCCTGTTGAGCATCCAGCCCCTGGCTGTTCAAGGAGAAACACATGAAGCAGCTGTCTGTTTTCAATCCAAGCCTGCTCCCCACTGCTTCTCAATTTTAGATAGATAGTTTTCCCAAGGAACTCTGATTTTACAATGGCTTTGCAGGCCTTGATCCACTCCCTTGTACATGTCCCTTCCCGTGTGAGGACGAGCAGGTGAACTGCAAAGCCTCCTTCAAGCTGTCCACTTAGCTATTTCTACCCTCAGAAAGCTGAGTCAGCTCTCTCTGTATTCCTTTCCTAGAACAGAGGAAATCAGCTCCTTTTGAGTAGGAGGCAAAAGGAGATGAATTCTCCATAGACATTTACCTCATCCACCCTTAAAAGTTTTGGTCAGTGGTCTGGAAGAAGCAGACTCCTTTCTTTCTTTCTTTCTTTCTTTCTTTCTTTCTTTCTTTCTTTCTTTCTTTCTTTCTTTCTTTCTTTTTTTTGGTACTGGGGATCGAACTTGGGTCCTTGAGCTTTCAAGGCAGGCCACCTAACCTCTGAGCTAAATCCCCGGCCCCTCCTTTCTTGAAATGCTCAGGATTGTGGAGGCCACAGGAGAGCCCCACACCTCTCTGGAAAGACTTGGCACAGGTAGCCCAGCCTCTAGAAGCATGGCCTATACTCTAGCCTTGGATGAGGATGCCAATTTATTAAAGATCCTCTATCCCTCTTCAAGTGTCAGTCCTAAAATCTACTTTAGGCAAAGGCCTTAGTATTGATGGCAAAAAAAAAAATAAATAAATAAAATAAGACTTTGGGGCTTTGGGGATGCAAAGAATGTATTTCACATATTGAGGACATGGATTTAGAAGTGGCCTAGGAGGTCCTATTTTATGTACTTAATTGTGTTGTCCCCAAATGCATATCTTAAAGCTCTCCCTCCCAGTACCTCAGAATATGACTGAATCTGGAGACAAGGTCTTGAAAGGCATAATTAAGTTAAAATGCAAGCAGCAGATTAAGCCCTAAACTAATATAACTGATGCCCTGGAGGGGTGGAAGGGAGGGAAGGGGAATGGGAAAAAAACCAAGGACTGAGATACATCACATAGAAGTACAAATTCCCAATGACGAATGTGGTCATAATGTATACCTAAAATGTGCCAATAAAGTTATTTTTCCCCCTTAAGTTTATTGGTACATTTAAAGCAAACAATATAGTTGCATTTATCACTGGGATCTTGTACCTTTACATGATATGTCTTGGTTCTTGTTTTTCCCCATACCCATGCCCTCCCTTCACCCCCTCCACCCTTCCCTATTTACAAAGACTTTGTTTCCATTTTTCATTTTTCCACATTTTTTCTTTTCCCTTATTTCCTTTCTCCTCCCCTTCCCACTTCCCCTTTAGCCATTTTCTTCCTATTTCACACTCCCAATTATGCCATTTGAACCTTATTTACACTTCTAATTTTTCACACCAGAGAAACTATTTGGTATTTACTCAAGAGTAAAGTTAATTTTTAAAAGAGAGAGAGATTGGGAGACAGACAGACATATGAAATACCACATGAAGGCACAGACAACCATTTGTAAGCTAAGGCGAGAGGCCTCAGAAGAAGCCAACCCTGGTGGCATTTTGATTTTA